TGAAAGATCTGCGCTTCAGCGCTTCGGATTAAATCTCCTTTCGGCAACGCTTCTCTAGTATCCCGTCTCATCTGGATTAATTCTGGGTTAACTTCCAGATTAACTCTGGATTAACCTGCAGGGTTTTTAATTGCGACGTTGTTTGTGATTTCAGAGAGAGGTGATAGCGGCACTGCCTAAGCTGATACGCCTGAACCCAAACGTAGTAAAGGAAGTGTTCAACCGACTACTGGGTGTAAATGGTGAGGTTTAAGATAAGGTAGAGTAAGATGAGGGTTAGGGTTAGATAATATCAAACAAAGTATGATAAGGTATGATAAGTTGAGATAAGGTAAGATAATGTACGATAAGAAAAGGTGATATAAAGAAAGGTATGATAAGAAAAGGTGATAAGAAAAGGTAATGTAATGTAAGGTAATATAAGGTAAGGTAATGTTTGATAAGATAAAGTGTCATAAGTTAAGGTAATACAGTAATATAAGGTAAGGTATGAAAGATTAAGGTAAGGTGACGTAGATACTCTGTGTAGCATAGTTAACGTTGTCACCTAGTTTACAACACAGATTGAGTGGTGACTGAGCGTGGCAGGCTATGACACCGTCACTATTCCCTCACTGTTTTTGTCGTTGGTTAACGAGCGCTCCCTCTCTCTCTCTATCGTTTAGTTGAGGCTGGATCAGGCCCGCTGTCTCCTGCAGAGCTGCTGGTGGCACTACACATGATAGATCCAACCAAGGTCGACATGAAGTGCATCATCAAAGGTAAGCAACGCAAGCAAGCGCGCGTGGGATGGGAGGACATCTCACCTCCTTCTCTTCTTCCGCCTCCTCCTCTTCCTCCTCCTCCTCTTCTTTCTCCTCCTCCTCCCAAACCTTCTTCTCCCGCCACACACAAGCTTTGACCGTTACTAGAATAAAAAAAAGTGATCAATTAAACAGAATAACTAAAAGTTAATTATTCCATGGTTAAAGATTCGCATAACCGATCAGTAACGTGTAATGTATGTGTGGTTAACTAATGGTCACCCATCCCTCCCTCCCTCGCTCTGTGCTTCCTTCTCTCTCCTTTCCTCTCTCTCTCTCTCCCCTCTGTCTCTCCCTTGCTCTCTCTCTCCCTCCCTCGCTCTGTGCTTCCTTCTCTCTCCTTCCCCCTCTCTCTGCGCGGCATCGTTGCTGGTACCTCCCTCGTCGTTGCAGCGAGCGGGCCATGTGTTTCGCAGGAAGAGGAAGTCTATACACCAGGAGGTTGCTTGCTCTCGTTCATCCCGGCAGCTGAATGGACAAGGAGGCCGCTGCCGACGCGCCATGCGCACCGTCATACAAGTGCTCTCGCTCAGGCGTCTACCCGCGCCTCATAGGCTCGTCATGAACACCCTGCACCGCCTCATAGAGAGAGAGCGCTACGTGTTTTCATGCGATGTGTGTGCGTGCGTGTGGCGTGCGGCGTGATGTGCTGTGGCGCTGCGTGCGTGGATTGTGTGTGCGTGCATGCGTGCATGCATCAGTAGTATGGTCTTCATGTCGTGTGGCTTGCGTCACAGGTGTGGAATCAGAAGAAGGTATGGATTAGTGTTAGGGTTAGTATTAGTGTTGGGGTTTGGTTTTAGGTTAGTGTTTGGGTTAGTGAGGTTATGTTAGTGTTAGGGTTAGTGAGGTGATAACAGTTCATATTGTTTTACAGGTGTGGAAGCAAAAGAAGGTGTGGGTGGGATTCGTAAAGTGCTGCCAGCAGACGATGCCACAGTCGCTGCAGGTGCTGCTGGAACTGCCAGCAGAGCAGCTAGCTGACGTGTTCAAGATCAGCCCTGAGGTGCGGCTGCCGCTGCTGCGCCACGTCCAGTCATTCACCGACCACCAGGTATGTACAGGTGTCACCCCCAGGTATGTGCTGGTGTCACTGCCAGGTACATGCAGGTGTCATCATAGATGTGTCTAGGTGTCACCATAACAAATATGTAGGTATATAAAATTTCTTATGCAACAGGTATAATATACTCTTGAATTCTAGGCTAATCTCTCTCTTTAACTTTAGGGAGGAAATAAAATAATAATTTAAATTCAATTCACAATATTAGAGAGGAAATTTTGTCAGAGAATTATGTTAGAGAGAAAATTATGTCAGAGAATTAGGTTAGTGAGTAAATAATGTTGGAGAGTAAAATCGTAAGTGGACGAGGAAGGAGTCGGGATAGAGGGGGTGTGGTGCCGTCTATCATCTATGTCTACATCTACATTGTCCTCATGTCTGTTATTCAGCGAGACCACCTCAACAAGGACATCGTCAAGGTTCTAGAGAAGGAGCCGGTCAAGGTCGAACCGCACCCAGAGAAGCTCGTCGTCGTCATGGCAACAGAGGGCGCCGCTGACGTGAAGCTGCCGGGAGTCGTGGCGGTGTCGGCAGCCGACGTCGTCCTCGTGAAGCAGGAGGCGAAGGTGCGCTCGCTGTCTAGCCGCGTCTTTCCTCGCGACGAGATTCCACGGATGCATCCGTGCGAGCGACATGAGAGCGCGTACCCCCCTTAGATTGATCGAGCTCGGTCGGTTTGTACGCGCCTCTTTCGCGCGTGCGTTTTGCCGCGTCGTCGACGTCGCCACACTTCGTTGCTAAGCCGCATTTTTAGAACGTCCGTAACGCGACTCTGATT